GGGCAGGAACACCATAGTCATGCACCTGCACATTCAAAGAAAAAATGGAGTATTACAGAAGCGTCAGAGGCAATCCAGCACCCTTCAGCAGAGCACTTCATGCTCTGAAACAGACTCGCATATCTTGGAAAAACAAAAAACGAACACTAAATCAACCTAAGCAGCGACACTGCTCATCATGGCTGCAGCACCTCTCCTCACCCCTGCACTGAAGGATTGCTTCACCCTTGGTTAAAATTTCATCTGACGCTGCTGCTCAGGCCAGGTCTCGAGAACGCTTCAGCACTTGTTCTGGGCAGCACACGCTGCGGGCTGCGGGGAGCACGGGCTGCGGAGGAGAGAAGCTTTCCTGACTTGCTTCACTTTGTCCTGCAAGCAGCTGCATTACACCTCTGCCTGGGCTTCTCCTACTAGGGTTTGCTGCGACGTCTGGAAGCCATATTCAAACCTCACTACACCTCTGCGAAGCGGGACGGTGAATGCAGCTCACCCCAAGTCGCCAGGAGCCAGGCCAGGAGCTTGCCTGCTTCTCGCAGCCAGTGGAACCGAGAGCCAAGCACTAGAGAAACAAGCAGAAACAGGCATCCCACGCAGCTGCCGAGTCGTGTCTCCAAGTAGCCAGGGTGGATTTTGGGGTCAGAATCATTCAGGGCAGAGGGGGAAAATGTAACGTACCACCCCCTGCCCGTGCTTTGGGGGAAAATCCTTCGTCCTCTGTTCTCCAGCTGGCCCAGGCCAGTTTTACCCTCTCTCTCTTGTCTCTTGGCCATTTACGCAGTAAATTCGGGCCAAGGGTGGGGAAGAAGGTGCGGGAGCCACCCCTGCATCCCACACATTTGGCTGCTGCTGAGGAGAGCAGCTCTGCGCCAGCCCAGCCCAGCATGGCCGGGGGCGGGCCGCGGTTCTCGGTGGGCGCGCCACACGGCATCCCCCCTGCCACGAGGCCGCGTACGGATCCCAGCCCGGGGCTCGTGAATTCAGTGGCTTTTAAGCTCTGCAATAAAAAACCATTTGACTTGAAGAATGTTATTTTTCCTGCAAGGGGGCTTGTGCTGCTTGCTGGGATTTGCTTCAGGCGACTCAGTACATCTGCTGATGAAACACGCTGCCGGGGTCTCTCAGGAGGCTCACCACGGACCAAAAGGCAGACACCCCCACTCTGGGCCCTCGGGCCAACCCAGAAGGCAGCAAAGCAGCCAGTGCCCAGCCACCAGGCGATTCCAGCGTCCCAGCCCGCCTGGGCAGGGGAACACGGCTCCCCAGGACGTCCCCGCAGCTCCCCGCAGACAAGGAGCCTCCGCGGGCCCCAGCGAGCCCGTGGGGAGAGGCAGACTGAGCAAACCTCTCACCTCCAGCTCCTGGTCGTCAGATAAGCTCTTAGTGAAACCAGCCGGTAGCTGCCTCTGCAGAGCCAGGGGGTGACCGAGCGGGGATGGGCACAGAGGCCACACCCTGGGCCAGGCGAGAGGGGACCCTGCACCCCTGGAATACTCGCCATGCCTTCGGCGAGGCGTGGGGAGAGGTGGGCTCTTTGCTGTGCTGCAGGGAAGCACTGTCACAGGTGCCTCTCCCCAGCCTGCGGCTCCTCACTGGCATGCAGCTGGCTGGGGAAGAATTGCAGCGTTGGCAAGAAAGCATTTTTCTGCCATTCCCCTCTGCATTGAAGCAGTGTCTGACAAAATTTAAGGTTGCAAAAACCAGTAGCAGAAACAAAAATAAATCGGGATCTTTATTTCCCATAGGAAATTTACCTAGATCCTATTTATAGCCCTTTTGCCCTCATCCTTATGTAACTCCGCTGCAGAAGAGGAGCAGAAAACACAGAGAAAATAAAAAATTTGCTGCAAAGAATTAGTGCAAGAGACTGAGTCACATCTAGCGATGCAAGCAGATAACCTGGGGCTCACTGAATACACTGCGCAGAACAACGGACACCGAGATCAGCGGTATGTCAGGCATGTACAAACTGGCCCCAGGTATCATGACTAAAGTGGAGCCACTGGTGGGCTTTAGAGAGGTGCACAAACCCCACACTTTAGAGTTTATTTTATTGCTCTTAATGGCCTGCCTTCCGCACATCTCATTTCCTTTTATTGAAGCTGTCAGAGAGGCATTACATTATCTCACATGCGTGCAAAAACAGCGTTTCAGTAGAGCTCATACAGACTTTTGAACGCCACAGCTGAAGAGAACAAGACACCGGGAACTGCAAAGGGAGGGGGCAGCAGCAGAGTCCAGAGCACACACCTACGGGCAAAATGTCCAGGGGCTTCACACACCAGCCAAGCGGCCGTCTCTAACCAGAGACAGGCGAGCGAGGAAAGTAAAGGTACTTTTCTAGTAAGCCGGATGATTCACTGGAGATGGGCAAGGAGTCCTGCTGATGAGTAATTAATGGCTCGGCCTAGGCACAAGGCTGAGTCTCTTGTCCCGGTGCAGAGCCGCCTGCCAACCCAGCTCTACCGAGAGGCCCTTGGGGCAGGAGCACTTGCAAAGCTATTCTGAAGGTTTGAAAAAAAAAAGAACATTACACCCATATTTCCACAGGGCTTTCCCTGTGCTGCCCAGTTCTCCTCAGTTCCTCATACTCACCACAGCATGGCTGGCATCCTCATTAGCACCCTGCGACAGTGGGAAATACAATCCAGCTTCAAAGATAAAGAAATACATCTAACCAAGCAGCCTGCGAGGGGGTGCATTACTTTCTCTTTTCTCATTAGCGTGGCCCTGGCAGCGACCACGGCGGGGTACAGGCCGACCACCTCTGCTGCAGAGACCTTGCAGAAAGTACCAGCCCCAGGGTCCCCGCATGCAGGGCTCGAGGCACTGAGCGCCCTAGCCAGCCTTCTCATCTGATCTCCAAGATGTGAAAAACAGTGGTGGCAAAATCAACTATTAATGGTCAGAGACACGATATTTTTCTCATCCACACAGCACAGAGTACAGCCGAACTGCCTTCAGGCAGCCGGCATTTGGACAGCAGGAAATCACAGTATTCTGGGGTTAAAAACAATCTCCTTCACATTTTTTTCACCCACCAGATTTCTTTTTGGTGAGTCGCATCCACACGCATGTCATGCACAGCAGGTATAAATTGCTGCTGGCCAGGGCACGCTCAGAGGACAGTCTAACAGGGTGTCACGTATGTAAACTGCCGTGGAGTCTGAGCTTCCCTGAAACGCTGCACATCTCACACCCATCCTGTGAAGCTGAGGGGAAGCACTTGCCTGCTCTGTACGTATCAAAATTGTGGTACAAAACTAGTTAGCAATATACTATTTAAATAAGGAAATAGTCATTGTAGTTGAGGTTCACAGATTTGTAGGGCTACTCTTCAAAGCTACTTTAACACTAATAAACACGGCTCAACACCTCTACGCTACGCACACACACAGTGCCGACCTGGTACCCGAACAGACCAGCGTACAGCCTGTCCCAGCGTACCTGCACACTGGTCCTGACGCACTGGAGGTCACAAACCCGCCCATGTCTGCTCACAGACATCTTGCTACACATGCACGCGCGCACACACAGAGAAAACCATCTGGCATAGATGCTAAATGACACACCTCACTGCCTGCTGATGGCTACAGGCCACACAGCAATTTAAAGTGTTACTAGAAAACACTCCCTAAATAGCACCTAGGAACATGTCTATCCTCCCTGAGAAGCAGAGCCTATCTCAAACAAGACCCCCTTGCCAGGACTGTTCCGCTGCTGGGCAAACAGGGATGCTTCCCCCTTCTAGCACGATGGTGAAAAGCAATCCTCTTGGCAAGGCAGCACGCAGGTTGCTCACTGGCAGACAGCTTGTCCCCACGATGGGACCGCGGGGTAAGGGAGGTGAAACTGCGCTGATAACCAGACGTGCAAGCAGATCCCTGTAGACTCCCAAACAGCGGGAAGCTGACTTTGCCGACCAGCCCAGGAGGTGCTGAGCTCACCAGCAATGCAGCACACAGCTTGGTACCTACAGCGTATTAATTATGTGCCCGATGAGCAATGCCAGGCTGGTGAGAACTGTCTATTGGCAAAGCTTGCTCAGAGCAGAGCACAGTAACCACAACCATAAATTATATTCTCCAGAGGTAGCAGGGGGTGGAAGAAGGAGGAAGTTCACAGGGAAAGATTTCCTTTCCCTCGAAAGGAAGAGGTCGGAGTGACGTAGCCAGCACCGCTATCTGTGGCTGTTTGTGACAACCACAGGCTTTTGGAAATGGCTGGAACAGTCCCTCGCATCCTGAGCACAACCTCCCTCCACTACCGGCAGAAAGATGAGCATTTCACTGACCTTGAATCTACGGCTGACAGAAGAGGGACGGGCACGGGGACAAGCAGACACCACACTTGGCCTTGCTGCCGCTGCTCCTGCAGGGGACAAACTCTTCCCTGCCTGCCTGACCCAGCGCTGCGCTGCAGACACACAGGTGGTGCTGCTCGTTTACTCATACACCGCTGGAGGAAAGGCAAGACTCTAGCTTTAGTTTGCCTATACTAAGTGAGGAAACTGCTCAAGGGGATTGCTTGTTTTGCTCGTCTTTGCAACAGTTCTCGACAGCTTCTTGGCCACCTGGACGGCTTACTGAAACTCCTCAGCTCCTGTCTCCCTGCATGCAAGTCCTGGGAGGGAAGGATTTTGCAAACCGCCAAATGCGAGATGCAAACAGCTTGGCACTAAGAGTTCGGCAGCTCTTCAGCTACTGCTTCTGCAGCTCCTGTGATTTCCTACTCCTGCTAGGAAAAAAACCACTGCAGAACATATTGATCCAGCCAGACTCACACTGACATGGCTGGGACAACCACCAGTTTAACCATTGCTTGTGAAATACAGTGGGGGTTGCTGTGCAAGGAGACAAGTAAGTGAAGGTGTCCCGTGCTACCACTTGCAGTAATGCCTCTTTGCCTAGTGTAGGCATGGCTTCAAGATCAATACTCTAGAGCAAATATTATCTCATTTACAATTTTTTTTCAGTCTTTTCGTCGGGAAGGGTCTTCCTTGTTCACCAGCAGGCATAGGGGAACAGAGGGTACTGGCTCCACTCTGCCATGGTGCCGTGGGCATGTCCTGGAGGCCCCTGTGTATTGTACTCTGTGGAGAAGGCTGAGTAGCTCATGGCCCTGTACTGGCTGTGGGAAGGCACCATCCACTGGCCAAGACCTTGCTCGGTGCCGTAGGGACTGTACATGGGCGCTCGGGGCCCGGGTTTCCCGACAGAGTCTAGAGCCATGTTCACCACTCCTGTGTAGTCCTGAGGAGGAGGCAAAGGTGGGGGGAGTGCAGGCAGGTTGGTGAAGCCCTCTGGGAGCTGTTTGGAGTCGTGGTCGGGCACTGTGGCGAGATCCAAGGGGTGGCACCTTGCACGGAAATCATTCAAGGTTGCGGTGTCACGGGTGGGAAGCTGCTGGCTGTCCCCAGCTTCGTGGAACCTGAGCCCCGAGGGCAGAAAGAAGAGCGAGTCAAACCTACTCAGCAGAAAACCACTGAAAACCCACCCAGATCCCCCAGGGAATGGCAGGGCAAGCTGTTAGCATGCCCTCTTCCCCTCGCCTAGTGCTCCATCTGTTAGTGTGGATTTTAGTCCAAGGCCCTCTGTCACTCACACGGAAAAAAATAAATGCCAGACAAAGGATGCCCAGACCACTCTAGTGCTGGCTCAGTTCTAGTCTGGGCTCACTATAATAACTCATGCCTGAATTTGCAATTATAAGAAGGAGGGGAAAAAAATAATCACTGGAATCCTGCCACTCCTCCAACACGCTTCCTCCAAAGGACAAGGAAGCTCTGTGGTACATGGAGCTGGCTGGGAGAGCATCTCAGAACAGGGAAATAAAGAGCATTACTAAGATACAAGTATGCCCAGAAGCAGTGGGTTTGAAGTAACACAGAAAGGCTTTGTTGCTGAGCTATCTCCATGCTAATCTAGCACCTATCACCCAGGTACGCTGTCCAACAGAAAGGCATCCTTCCTCACTCCCACCGGCTGTTTATCTTAGGAAATATCCAGAAGAAAAAGAGGAATCCCATCACTTAAAGGGTAGCTTTGGACATGAGTGCCGGGAGGTGGGACTCACCGATACGTCTGGTAGGATGGCGTGGGCACTTGCTGCTCTCTGGGCAGGCCCTCCCTCTGGTCAGCTGGCACCGGCGATGCTGCAGGAAAGGCATGGCTGCCTCTCTGCTCCTGACCACGACGGGGTTGCTCTCCTCCTTCACATCTGCAATCTCATCTTTCTCAAAATCTGACTCACAGCAGGGAAAATAAAGAATGGGAAAAAATGAGAAGGGGGAAGCGAGAGCCAGAGCTCACAGTGGTCTATGGGCAGCTGCCTTAGTTGCAGATGGTGGAGGGAAACCCACTGATACCTCTTCTGCAGTCACACTGCCTTTAGGGACTAGCCCTTTGCAGCTTTTTTCTGCCCTTACTCTGCGGTGTTTGGTCCCGCCCTGTCCTCTCTCCTTAGTGGTGCTACTGCAAGCAGCACAGTGAACTGGAGCAAGGAATGATCAAGATTAAGAACAATCTAATAGAAAGAGTAAAGATATTTTTTTCTTAATGGTACCAGTTCCCACATCTGCATCACAATCCAGCTGCACAAAGAGCACCGCTGACACAACCACACTGACGAGAACCAAGAAGAAAGCAATGGGTGACACTGCAAGCTCATATCGCTATTGAAATGTTATGAAGGCACAGCCTGTGACCATACGTGGTCACAAAGCACAGCCGGGCTGGGAGGCTGGTGAGAGAGCTGATGAACAGTCAATAATGACAAACGACTTGCAAGCAGGCTCCTGCGGATCATTCCCCGAAAGTGAGTCAGAGACTCAAAGCCAGAGACACAACACCCTTCCAGGACTCCACTCAGGCCACTCTCCCCAGAGAGGGGACTATGTTCCTGCTTCTTTTCCTCTCTGTGGCCCAGGCACTGTTTGGAAATCATTCTCTGGGTTTGTTGTGATCAATATTACCACGTTCTTCAGCACTGGACTCCTTTTCCTCAGGCAGCTTCCTCTTCTGGCCTTTGGCTGGACTAGGCTTCTGGCATTTGGCTCGTCCTTCCCTGGGAAAGAAACAAGACATGGGGGTAGCTTGTATGTAAGCTTTTTGCCTAGATAAATATGGAAGGGATGCTGGACAAGCCCTGGAGGACAAAAAGATGGGATGAACCCCCTCTGGCATTCTGTGACTTGCACCTCTCCTAGCAACGTGCCCCGATGGGTCCTTGGGGAACACGCTTGCCATAGTCGAATTACACAGTTAGCTGTGCCGCTTGCCATCCGTGTGAGCCTCCAGGGAGAGCCCTCGCCCCGCAGGAGACCGGGGATAAATCAGTAAAGGGCTTGCCTGACTCACAAAAGGCACAATCAGCATGGAAATTCAGCCCCAGAGGTTTTGGCCCTGAGTTTGTAAGTGTCGTCCGATGCTGGATATACACACTATACACACACGTATGTGTATGGTAGGGCGAGTCTTTTGCTTGAAAGCAGCTTTTTCCTAAATGAGAAAATGAGTCTAAGCTTAGTCAGAAATGATCCTACTAGCAGGAGAAAGAAAATCCATGACATTTTCAAAGTTTAAGTAAAAAAGAGTCAGTTTTGGCGTTTTTCATCAGGAAATGAGATTTTTTTCAGGCATAAAATAACACGAAACAAAATCTCAGATATTTTCATAACATTTTCTCCTTGAAAAAAACATTATTTCCTTCTCTATTGCCAGTGTATGGTTGCACTTAAGCTTTTTTTTTCCCCATCTCATCCACTGGCTGCCCTCAGACCAGACAGAAGATCTCACTGGTATTGGTATCCATCTTCCCTCTTGCAGACAAAATGTTCCATTGGAAGAGATTCTTTTCCACACACAGGGAAAGGAGCTGAGGGAGCCTCCAAATTTCAGAAACAAGCTGATCTCAAAGAGACACAATGCTCTGCTGTGGCCTTCCGTTATCACTGCTATTCACGTGTCAGACTCCAGCCTAGCTCCAACATGCAAGAGTATGCAGGCCTCAGATTTCTCGCACTTCCCACACTTCTTCAGGAAATCCTGCGTCTCCTCCCACTCCCCATGTCTCTAGGGAGGAGGCTGCACAGGGGCCATCATTCCCCGACACAGACAAACGCAGCATGCATAACGCAGCAGGCTCTGCAGAGCTAGCTGGTGTAGTTTTGCTCAAAGGCATTGGGTAAAATTCACAAGTGAACTCCAGTTATAAATAAATTAAGATGAAAAAACAGTTTACCTTCGAGTGTTCTTCCCATGCTCACGGAAACCTTTAGCAAACGGATTGTTGTCAATCTTGAGCTTTGTAATCTTAAAATAGAAGGAACAAGATTCAGTATCATGGTGACTGGTTGGGTTCTTCCCTGTTTCAAGACCTTCACCTCAGTCTTTATCACAATGGCTTGTCGGAGGGCTTTGAGCATGCCTTTGCCACAGGGCAAGCTCTCCCAGCAGCTCCTGTTATTGTTTAGGAACTGACAGAGAGAGAGAAAAGACTTTGCCAGGGTCAGCAGGAATTTGGGTGGGATTCATCTGAGTAGAGAAATATACAGGGTCAGTAGCTATATCTGGACTTTTGCCCATACTTTTTACTGCATTTAGGGTTCTGTTAATCACTGACAGCGCACTTAATACAATTAAGGTGCATGATTCACCTCACCCAAGAGGAGATGTTTTCCATGGGAACCATAATGTGCTTATTTCTTTCCACCATTCATCAGAGGAGCCCAGGGAGACTAGCTTGGAAGGAAACACCTTCCTCTACAAGATTTCTAAAGACAAGAGTATGTAGCAATGTGACCAAGAGCAGTACTTGCACACTGTACCTGCTCATTCTGGTAGGCAGTGACAGAGGTGAAGACAGTCTCGGGGAAGCTGAAGACCTGGAAGATGCTCCAGCGGACACTGAAGAGGTCATCTGCCTGCACAATGTGGAAGCGAGGCTTGTAACGGTGCATGGAGTGGAGGATGATCTGGCACAGAGACAGACAAAGGAGAAAGGTTCTGTGTGGAACCACTGCCAACACACTGTGCAAAGTTTCCTGCAGAGACTCCCAGGACATTCATTTCAAACCAGGGATGCCCGCCTGGGTCCAGTGTCTCCACCGTGCCTCTAGAGCGACAGGACGGACTAAAGCCTTCCCTCGCAGGTAGTTACGAGAGCACAAGGGCTGGGCTGAGGAAGGAAGAGAGGGCACTTGGATATGTTTTAATTTCCACGTGATCTAATTTCTCACAAATCTCACTTAATGTCCACCTATAATGAATTTCAAGAGAGTACAGCACAAAGGCCAGCTACAACCTACATGCCCATGTTGATCCAGAGTGTTGTTGGTGAGCTTCAGTTTTTGGAAGGAGACGGGTTCTTTCATCCAGTGGCTGCCAGGAGCTGGGGAATCTGGGTGGACGTAGGTGCGACAAGGGAGCTGTGGCTCTGCTTTTCCAGCAACTTCCCACTGATCTTTATTCCACTGTAAAGGGAAAGATGGAAATCTAGAGCTTAAAAAAAATACTTTCATTACAATAAAACCCCAGCAACTTTGCTCCACTGTTGATTTAGTGGACTCCTCTGAAGCACAGTCCTGACAAGAAGCAGATTCACTTCCATAAGCCATGATCATGCTACCAAAACAGCTCCAAGTTTAGGCCTCGTTTTTCCTCCCTTTCTCCCAATGGCTCTCAGAGAAGTCTGACATTAATCATGATCAAAACTGTGTTGCTTACAATGAAAATTTCCAGCTGCTCCCCAAGCAAAACTGACAAATAACTCCAGAGAGGCATAAAATCCACCAATTACTTCTGAACTTTGTCCAAAGAAAATTTATTTATCAGCCTGGCCAGTGAAGCTTAAAGATTAATCCAATTCAAATTAAGATGGCAGGACAGCATAACTTCTCTTATTTGAAGTACTCACCTTGTACCTGAAGTTGTCCATTGGCACAAAATCTACCAGCATGAGGTACTTGGCATACGGGATTAAGCCGGAGACTTTGATTTTGCATTGTGGAAACATTCGTCTGAAGGAGAAATGAAATACACAGTATAAGGATTTCCCTGTAAAGTGGATATTGTTTAATTATCCAGCAGCAGGTCATGTTTACTCACTATGGTGGAAAGTTCTGGTAGCAGTATTTCTACAGGGCAGCTATTGAACATTTTTACCATTTTACTGATGTATTGCCTAATCCTATGGGCTTGGGTGGAAGAGGCACTAACAGGGCAGCAGTCACTGATGGCCTGACATTGTTACTGCTTTTGTTCTTCTGATTCCTGTAACACAACAGCGGGAAACTTAAATTAAAATATTTAGAATTTGCACGTAGTTCCTAGCATTCTGCAGCAACTGCAGACCTAGAGGGTAGATTAGAGCATTTTCTAGCATGGGTAGAAATCATGCTGTCATCTAAGAGCACACCTAGCTTTTCATTCCAGTACTCCCTGTCACCACTTTCATCTTCTGACTCTGCAAAAAAGCTTTGACACCTACCTCCCTACCCAAAGGGATTATTTCAGCTCACAGCAGCTTTGACATAATACATTACAATTTCACAATTTCTTATTCTTTCACTGCAAGCTCCATGATGCATGACTCATTTAAACTTTAGAGTACTCTGCACGCACAGATCATTGCTGTTCGATGCCATGTTCTTGTCTGCAAATGCAGACTCAAATCCAGGTATTTACTGCTCAGCTGCTGCTGCCTGTGACCGAGGCAAAGGAAGCCCAGGGCACTTTCCAGAGCAACCTCCCAGCAACAGGAAGAACATCAGCGTTAAGTGCTGAGATAAGAGTACAGAAGTTTTCTCAGCACATCAGCCCCACGGTGACCTTTTGCACTTCACAGTTTGGACTTCTACCACATCCTAAAAGTGCAATTCTTCTGCCAGATGCAGGGAGATGCGCATAATTGGCTAAAAACTTAGTTTAAGGGCCACCATTCAAAAAGTGAGCATCAGGAGATCTTGCTACCAGCTTGGAGGGGTGTGGTGTGGGCAGCTGCTCTGCTCCCCTCACCTGCCAGATTTGGTGATGATCATCTCGGTTCCTATCTGATGAAACTTCATCCAGAGCGCCATGTCCTCGAGGGTGACCACAATGGAGCTCTGCGGGTAGGGCTCCAGGCTCGGGGAAGACAGTGCCTCGCACGGCGCTTTCACGTCTACCGGGAGAGAGAGTAAACGGTAACTCCAGGCAGGCAGGAGGGGAGCGGGCAGGAAGCGGCCTCTCCTGCCCCGAGACGCAGCACCCTCCTCGGCCCTCCCCGCCACAGTCATCGGCCCTCCCAGCACCAGCTCCCTCCAGTACAGGGAGCTACCGAATTTCACATGCTGTTGTAGCAAACGAGGTCTGTACGTCCGGCCATCCCTCCTCCGGCCTGGCCACGGCACGTCTCAGCCCCACACCACCGCGCAGCACACAGCACTGGTCCCACGCAGGAGCTGGATGCCGTGATTTTACCCACGAAGGTCCCAGGTGGTGTCTGCACCACAATGCACCTCTTAAAGAAAATCCATTGTTTTCATTCAAAGGCTTTTTGTTACTTAGTCGTCTCAGAAGGCACAAAGGCTTTTCCAACAGGTTTCTTTTTAGCTGTTCAGTTATTTCATAGAGATTTGCGTGTCGTACAAACTCAACCCGACTTCCTTTGTTCCAAAACTCATACTGGCAGGTACCCACAGTCCACTTTCATTCTTGTCCTGGTATGATCAGGGTTACACAAAACACTTTACCAAGAGAACAAAATGAAAGCTGAAAGGATTGGAAACATTTTGAGTGTACCAGTGGGTAATGGGAGAAAACGACAGGTAGGTGGTAGCAGAGGTGAAAAATCTTTCCAGAGGACAAAGAGGGGATAGACAGGAGACCAAAATGTAAGTGGAGGCAAGAAAGGGAGGTGACAGAGCCGGTCCACAGAATATTCTGAAAACAGGACAGCTGGTCTGAACCGGACTTGGAGATGGAGACCACCAAGGAGCTGGTGACGGCAGTGGAAGATGCCTCTTCAGTAACACACCATGGAGGAGCTTCCTGCAATATACCTGCACCTTCTCTTACAGGCAGAGGACTAACTGTGGTCCTGGGGAGAGGAAAGGGAAGCAGGGGAGCTACTGGAGAAACTGTCTCTGGTGGTGATGGTACCCACCTCCACTGTAAGGCTGTTTGGATTAAAAACCTCCTGTAGGAACTCTTTATTGCATCATAAGACATGCAAGATTGCTGTTGCCGTACTGAAAAGCCCAGGCAAGAACAACCCAGTTCCATTTTTGGTCAAAAATGTGACCTGGTGTAGCTACTGGTGGACTGATTTCACACCCAGTAAGGCTTTACTAACAGTGGTCTGGGGTCAGAAGGAGGTATTAAGGCGCCTATTCAACTCAGGGCACTCACGGCAGCGGAGATGCCGATAGCGCAGTGCCGGCAGGCCACTTCTGCTGGGTGATGCGTTATCAGCCATGCACGGCTACTTGCTTAAAAGGGAGATTCTTCTGCCTCTTAGTCTGGATCAGATCTTATTTAGAGCATATCAGAAATAAGGGAATTTTCACCTTGTTATAGCTTTCCTGAGCAACGTCTTCAAAAGAATAAGCATGAGAAGTAGACAACTATTTCCAGAGAAATAATTTTTTTTTTCAGAAAGTGGTATCTTTCCACAAAAGCAACCCAGTGCGAGTCTAAGGGGTTCTTCCCTCAGTATTAGGAAGTAAGAAAAAATTAAACACTAGTCTGTCCGTTTGTAAAGGTCTTTAGGTGTTTTAAAATAATACCCTTTACCCTTTTTTCTGCTTTGATCCAACATTAATGAACTGACTAAGAAGTGACACCTAGTTTGCTCACTAAGATTAGCCTGTTAACATCTTCTTACTAAAGCTTCCCCCATATCCTCTTGCAAAGACATGAAAGCTGCCACGAGACGATGCATTCGGTAGCTCAGTGGAGCACACGTATCAAAAAGAGTTACAATAAAATTGGGCTGATTTCCCACAGGAGTCACCCAGTCACAAATACATGCAAACAGATTTTGATTAGCTAGACAGACGCTCACTCCTTCCCCAGATGAATCTTACAATTAACATTTTTGTATGCAAATTCCAATGCCATTAAATGAGACTGCAACAAGGCAGATCTCAGGAGTCCTTACTGAGGGGAGACTTCCAATGAAATCAAGAGGAATCGAAGTGAAAGGAGTTCGATATTGAATTAAAAATCAAAGGCAGATGTCATAAACTGTTTTTTACCAAAATGAGTCCACAATGCACCTGGATGAGCGAGATGCTACAGGAGACAGTGAAAAAGAGCTCACATACAATAAACATTGCAGCAAAGATTTTAAAATTTAGTTAATGTCTTTCACCCTGGAGGTTTTGTGTGCACAGTCTGAGGCTGAAAAACAGGACATTAACAGTTTTCATGGGGATCCGGACCCCAGCAACGGTGTGAGCTTGCTCGTGGATCCACACAGCTGACCACAGTCACATACAACAAAAAAAAGGATTCGGCAGCTCAGGATCCATTTGCAGGATCCACTTGGGATTTTCTTTGCAGAGCCAAAGGCTGGCTTGCAATGCACTTCAAATTCACTCCTAGTCTGTGCCTCTGTAACTAATGCCAAGACTCGCGCATGCATCTCCCCACAAAGACGCCTGCATGTTGGAACTACAACACGGAGAGGTTTGTGGCAGGGAGACCAAGCACTGAACTGAACTCACTAAAGCTGCACTTCTATTGTCTCCTCTTCTATGTAACTTCAGTTTTATTTTAAGTATTATTTGAAAGAGATTTAAACACTTTCCAAGAATTTTAGTTCTTGGCTTAATTATCATTGCAGTGGTAACACTGCATGTGGCACATTTTAAAAACATTCTTTATGCCAAGATGAGGTTGACAAGGAAGATAGCTGCTATGATAAAGGCACTGAAAATTAAGAGATCCTCAATCCTCAATCGATTCCATGCTTAATTTTAAAGTCCTTATACAAATGTCCTTCAGTTTCTGTATCTAGAACAGGCTGTACATACAATTTTCCTATCTTGGAGACAGAAAGGAGAAAGAGAAATAAGAGTCAATTTAGTAATGCTTGCAGGGGGATAAGATCTGTGGATGGAAGGTGCTGGAGTATAATCCACTCGCCTAAAGCAGCCCCTCAATTAATTGTAAATTACTGAGACAATGTTATGATGTCAGGAGACTTGCTGCAGCCTTCTCAAAATGTATGGGATTTGCAATACTGGGAAAATTCCAAGAAGGCAAAAGGCATACTTCTTGCCTTCATTAAAATCAGTTATTATTACATTTGCTGCTGTTATCTTCCGAGTAAAGAAGTCCAACATTAACAGCTATCCAGCATCCACAGGGAAGAAATGCACATCAATATACAAAGCTACCTGAGAAATTAATATTGCCAATAACTAAAAACCCCCCATGTCCTCCAACCTTATAAATGTCAGTAGAAACACCCCAACCCTCCGGAGGGAACCTCATTTCTCAGAACCAGAAAGCTTTTTCGGCAATAACAAAAGTATCGTGTTTCTGTAAGCGCAGTGGCTTCACATCTCAAATGCACCCATCCATCACCTGGAATATTTCTGCTGTGTGGGGTCATACACCAGAAACAACTCAGTAAGCAAATGAGGTGACTTCTGCAATAGTTGGAATCTTTAACATGATAAAATACCGTAATACAGTCTGTAGCTTTTTCGTTGTTGCTCTTTCGCTTTTCAAGTCAAAATTCTCTTGAAGGGGCAGAAATCAGTATGAATCAGATCAACACAGTATAGACTGCTTTATAAAAACCCAAAACAACGGAGAAGGTGGAAATTATCTGAGTCATTGCACATGTATTTTGCTTATGAATGAAACAACATCTTGCAGAGGTAGAGAAAGGATGCTGAGAATATCCAGCCACCTCTAACGTGTACAAAAACCGCATACCCAAACTGGGTAAATACCTGTCTCCTGCTGATGCAGAGTAAAACCCAGGACTGAGTTTGGGTTTTGGTTAACTGACAAATGCAGTACCTCTGGACGGGCCCTTAGTTTCCCAGTGTGTATCTGTCATTGTGCCCAATCACACCCATACAGAAGAGGTTAACTGCAAGTTATGAGAAGGACTGATGAAGAAAAACACAAATAAAACCCTTTGGAAATCAGAAAAATACGGTGTTTGGTCATGAAAGTTGGTAGAGGTGGGGTGTGTCTGTTTGGGCTTTACAGTTCTAAGGGGTAGAAAAATGAAAAGGACAGACAAAACCAAACAGTTTGTATCACAACTGGTCTTAGCAATATTAAATTAAAGAAAAAAAAAAAAATCTTCAAACCTTCCCTGGCCTTCAGCTCAAGGAACTTTGCAGACAATATACAAATAACACCTCTATCCTCCAGTGAACGATCACATTGCACATGGTGATACAGGTAGGGGAGTTATGGGCACAATTGTGAGTAAACCTTTGCTACCTTACAAACGATCTTCCAAGGCTCACAAAGAACACTCAAACCCACACTTTCTCACACACTCCTACAACACCACCACCCCCCAAAAAAAAATTTTAGAAATTCTCTTCAGCCACACACACACTACTATAAATGCTGGTAACCCTTCAGGAGCACTTGTTCTCTTTCTAAAATGACTGTACACTCCTGGTGTTAGTCTAGGAACTTTCTGTGCAATAGGGAAAAGGAGGGAGTCCTCTACCTACCTGGTAAAGCTTGCATTTTTCCATGTACTGTGGAGTCTAGGAGCTTGCACGGCCAAGAGAGCCACCAGAGTTCTTACAAGGGAAGCCAAAATAGTCCAGTTTAAAAGCAGGTCTGATATCCTGAAGCAAGCAAAAGACCTTCCTCCTGAGATCCAGTGTCAAGAGTGACCGGGATGAGGATGGGACTTCCAAGCGCAGCAAGCCAAGGTGAGTTCCTGTTTTATGGAGGCTAATGAGCAGGGAGGAGCTTCTCGCCAGGGCTGTCCCCTTGCAATCCTTTGATGTCCAAAGGGACAAAGAGAGGAAGGATCTGCAGCAATGGCTGAAGCTAAGGGAAGAAAATCAAAGAGAATTAACATGGCTTTGACATACAGGAAACCCTACAGGGGAAATGCACCTTGATTTACTGCTAACGCACTTTTAAACAAATAGAGACGAGACCAAAAACATCAACTGAAGACTTACCTACAAAATAAAAAAATCCCTTAAACAGCAAGCAGGAAAAATTTCCTTCCGCCTATTCTACGGGTTTGATATAATTTTCATCTCCAGAGGACAGAATCATTTTACTCTTTGATTTCTGGAATCAGAGTCAGGACTGTATTGAGCTTGCTCCTTCCCAAGAGGGTGGTTAACAGTCTGTGGTGAAGTTTGCCCTCACAACTGGGATGCTGCAGCAACGCATTCATCCACCAACAGATGTGGAGCCTGGAGAAGAGAAGGCTGCAGGGAGACCTGATTGCAGCCGTTCAGTACTTAAAGGGAGCCTATAGGAAAGATGGGGACAATCTTTTTAGTAGAGACAACAGTGACAGGACAAGGGGTAATGGTTTTAAACTAAAACAGGGTAGGTTTAGGCTGGATAGAAGGAAGAAATTCTTTACAATGAAGGTGGTGAAACACTGGAACGGGTTGCCCAGAGAGGTAGTGGAGGCCCCTTCCCTGGAAACATTCAAGACCAGGTTGGACAGGGCTCTGAGCAACCTGATCTAGTTAGCGGTGTCCCTGCTTGCTGCGGGGGGGTTGGACTAGATGACCTCTAGGGGTCCCTTCCGACCCAAAACTTTCTATGATTCTATGTCTTGTCCACTAGCAGAAACACATTATATCATATATAACATTACTTACCTACTCAGCCTCTGCATTCAGAGCCTTTAACCACACAGTTAATTCTCCTCCTGCGCTGTTTTTCTGTGGCAGGGTCCTCACCGCTGCATCACGTGTGTTCTGAAGCTCAGAACCAAGGCTGCTCTACATGCAGTAGCTTTTCGGCTGAGCTTCGTGAGTGAAAGGTCCAACTGTCTAATGGCATAGCCGTGGTAGCACATCATTATACTGGCACTGAACTCCTTTGGCTGGCACCTTCCAGGGCCAGTGCGAGCGATCCAAGAGCCTCATGGTGCATCAGACACTGGTTTTAGGCCTTGTTCAAGGCACTGCTCTCACTGAACGGAAGGCTGAGCAGAAACTGAAGGACTTGAGCATTTTCCCTTAATTAGTTTATTCTGCAAGTGTGACCATTAGCTTTTGTACTTACAAGTGCTTACAAGTGCTAAAAGACAGCAATCAAGTCTCATGCTTCAGGGGACAAAACAGCCACTACACCTTGGTGAAGAAGGGACTTCTATGCATTCATGTACAGAAATAGCTATACTAACATTTAAAGGCCAAAGATGTTTAAAAGAGGAGCTCAGAAGCAGGATATCCGTCTCAATGGGCAAGTGTTGGATCCTGCACAGAAAATTTAGGAGCTCAGTTCATTTCAAAAAGTGTTGCTATAAGGCTGCAGTTGATTCATGGTCTCGCTTTGCTCCCAATAAAATACACATTTTTTTTATTTTGTCAGTGATGTTATTGGGACATCTGATTTTTAGTCTGACGTGCAAAACATGCTCTGAAATTAGTCAGTTCTATAACCGAACAACACCCCATTAGTTGTGCTTTTACTGCCTTCTGAAGCAGGCAATGCAAGCACATGCAAAGAGGACAAAGGAGTTTAAACAGAGGAGGGACTGGCTCTTTTTCAACAGTATATTAAATTTTAGGCATCCCAGTACTAGGCAGGGAGAGAAAGCCAATGCTTAGTGTGACAAGGAAGAACGTGTAAAAGAAAAGGGCTGGAGCGTTTAAGAAGTCCCGAGGAGGATTTTATAGCAGGAGATGGTCCATTGGCTCCTGGCACCTCTGAAGGACCACATCCAAGCCTTCCTGATATCCCTTTAAAACTGCTGGATAATACAGAAGACCACAGGCTCTTGTTCTTCAGCAAACTTGGGGACATGCAGAACTGGGGAGTCTCAGTGCCACAGAGGAGGAGACTATCATGTGGTGGAGCAACACCAACTTGTAGCTCAACTGGAGATTATCCATTACACATGTGGCAAGACAAACTGGAAGGGAAAAGATCAGCTGAAACTGGTACCAAGGTCAAATCTCCTCTGCTTGTACTTGCACAGCTACTACCAGACACAAACAAAACGGGATGCAGAAATGCTAATCTGCTCTGCTACAAAAGGAAAGCCAGCGTCAAATCTGCCCCCTCCATGTCCCGCTTTTCTAATGCTAGTATTTAAATTGTAGAAGCAGAAAAGAGAACCATAATCAGAATGTGAAAAGGAAAAATAGAACAAAAATTGTATCAGATTCAAACTAGCAGCAAGATGGATCAACATCCCATGCAGAATGAAACTGCACAACAGCAGCAGCAGCAGCACTGGGAATTTCAGACTCTTCACCTGACAAGAGTGTGGGATGTGTATCACGACTTGCTGCTTCTTCCACGGAGTGGTATGAGATGGTCTCCTGCTGCCACTTCATTTGCACACTGCCTATCAGCATGTCTAGAGAACACATGTGCTACAAGTACTCAAATCCTTTTGGCTTTTCCCAGCTGACTGATGGTGAAGGTGGAGTCATTAATTACCCATGACTAGTTAACAACTAGCTTTCTCCCACCAATTCTAGTCGCACTGGAAAGGTTTTAAAAGTGAAAAAAAAAAAGGGGAATTTGTTACTATTGCTGGAAAGTGTGGCTAACAGGAGCAATCCCCATGAAATTCACCATTAGCAAAGGGGGAATTTAGCACATTACCCTCCTGTCTGTCTGTCCATGGAGCGCCCTCAGGCAACTTGCTGGGAAGCCAGAGGTGAATCTGCTGGTGTCTAACAATTCACTGGCAAATTGGAGGCTGGGGAGGGGGAACGGCACGGCAGAGATAGTGGATCTGACATGTGCAAGCCAGTGACATATACAGCTCTGCTCCAAGCTCGTTTACAGTAGCAGGTAAAAATCCTACTGTGCCTAGCTCTAACAGTAGGCTCTCCTGCTATGCTGAAGGGGACTAGGTAGGGCAGCGCAGAAGGGAGGGGATGTGTGATGACAAAGGCAGAAGCCAAGAGCTTTTGCTTTGCATCTCTTTGAGAAGGTGATTAGAAAGAAACATTCCCCTATGGGTTTTGCAGTAAGGCAAATGTTTTCTGGCACTTCTCCCACCTTAAGTGAAGCTTTAACCCTTAACACTCAACAGGACCCTGTAGGGAACTGGTTTGCACACATACCTCCCCCCCTTCCTACCTTCCGAACTGGGAATTCTCCAAGACAGGGTGATCATCTTGCCATCTCTGGCTGGTGTCTGGTCTGTGGGAGAACAGAGAACGCGTGTCAGCTAGTAGGAGGCTTTGGCCGGCAGGACCTGAGCTGCGAGCAGCTGCGCAGGACACACCACCTCTGTCCGGGCAGAACTTCCAGGTCAGCATTCTCCCCTGAAAGCAAGCTCAAGTGCGAGGCATAAAGTTACTGCCTGGGAGACTGCTGAAACACAACAGAAATCCAGATTAGTAATAATGATCTTTTGAAAGAGCCAGTCTTGCATCACTGCTCATCTGTATCAGCACTCAGGCGCAACAGCCAGCAATCCAACCCCTGCAGACTTCCTTCTGTGCACACAGCCGCAAGAAAGCGTTATCATATCAACTTTAATGAAACTGGGCTTAAGTGAAGCAGCGTTGTCTGCCTGAGTTTGCACAAGTGAGAAAAAAATAACATGGAGAAGTGCAAACTGCATTTAAGAGATCACAGAATCACAGAATATTAGCGGTTGGAAGGGGCCTCTGTGGGTCATCTAGTCCAACCCCCTTGCCAAAGCAGGGTCTCCTGCAGCAGGCTGCACAGGACCGTGTCCAGGTGGGTCTTGAATATCTCCAGAGAAGGAGAATCCACGACCCCTCTGGGCAGCCTGTGCCAGTGCTCCGTCACCCTCAGAGTGAAGAAGTTCTTCCTCATGTTCAGCTGGAACTTCCTCTGCTTCAGTTTGTGCCCATTGCCCCTTGTCCTGTTGCTGGGCACCACTGGACAGAGTTTGGCCCTGTCCTCCTGACACCTACCCTTGAGATATTATAAACATTTATAAGATCCCCTCTTATATACTCCCTTCTGAAACATGAAGATAGCCTTACTGCCATTTAAATGTGACTCATTTAGCAGATTGCCACCTGGTACATGAAGGCCACAGTCCCAGAGCATCCTGGCAAGTCTTTCTGAAGGATACCCTGCCATCTGCATAGGGTGAATACTGAAAATATAGAATGACAGCGCGTCATTAACAAGGCCTAAAATAAAACAAATAGATAGCCCTACACTGATAGCTACTTATTTTCATAAGTAATTAAAAACATGAAGAGTCCTCAGACTCTCCAGACGGTTTTAGATTCCACAAATCTGCCCCTTAAATACAGGCTCAGCTTGCTGCAGAGCAAACGGTGCCTGATTCTGCACGCAGGGCCACAGGGAAAAGCAATGTTTTTCCAGAGAAAAAGCCTGATGAAACTACTGCTCCTACAGCTGTGCAAGCCTCAAAGCATGTGACTCCTTGCCCTTGTTAGTGACCAGCATCTCATCCAGAAAAACAGGGAACAAAAGCGCAGCTCCTCAGACAACACCGAGCTGACCGAGTGAACGGAGCAGGGTCGGCCAGGACAGAGCGGCTGAGCTCTGACGGCATGGGCACAGCCTGAGTTTGGGCAGCTTTATGAGCAAGTCTCTGTGGGCAGCTACAGGAACAGTAACAGCTTGCAAAGTGTTTCGAGATCCTCTGAGGAAGCACTACACAGAATTTCCTATCATGGTAGCATAAGGAATGGTTCCTTCCCA